AAGGGACGGGGTGATGCTGATAATTAGGGGGAGGCAGCCGACTCGTCAGTGTGTGTTGATATCCAGCCGAAGAGCAATCAACCATAACTTCAGGCGAGCAGGCTCAGAAGTTGGGAATACGTGGAAAGTCACCACTCCCGAATGAGTTTGCGCGAGAGAACGTAATCTTTTAGTTTTAAGTCGGTTTGAACAATCCGGATAAGCGCAAGCAAGTAAGTACCATTTTGATTAGCCGTCGTACCTACAATGACTGTGCACTGTGTAAACAATGAGTGATGTATACTATACGCGCGAGAGATCATTTCTGGCGCTTGTGTAAACTACGCCAGAGCGCATACACACCTCACGCACCAGATGCCGTGCGCGCGCCCAAAGACAGTTGGACATAGTGGTGTATTAGAGATAAAATATGATATAAATACTGTTCGGTTTCTCGCACAAACCGATCGTTTTGTGTCTTAGGACATCAATGTGTCGTCACGAGCCGCAGGGTTTAATTTGGATTTGTCTGTGCATGTTTTTTTTACTCTCATAGATTTTGTTACCATTGCCATGCATTATACGACTGATAGACTGCAACAGTTGGAGTTAAAAATCTTCGTTTGTGTTCTACTGAAGAAACAAAGTCACCTACATCTTGGATGCCCGGGGGGTAAGCAGATAAACATCAAATTTTCATTTTTGGGTGAACTATCCCTTTAAACTGGCAAATGGCATCAAAGCAAAGTGTTTCTGTATGTTGGACTCTCTATGTGTACATATGTACCTTGTTCTGTGCGTACACCATAGTGCCGTCATATCTGCCCCTCTGAGACTGCAGGTTTCCCGTTCGCAGTTTCTGCACCAGCATCCCACCGGATGATACTGTGATCTGAAAGAGAGGAGAGAGATGGTGACCGTCTGACCTCCGTCTGTCTCTCTCAGCCTCTGGTTTACTCACCACTCTGGAGTCAGGGCTCTTCTCCAGCAGAGGAATGAGGCTCTTGATGAGGATGTACATGGCTGAGGAACACAACAGAGACATCAGGTGAAATCTAAGGTATTAAAGATATTATTTATTATAAAGTTAGTAGGAAAGACTTTTAGTCCTGAGGCGATATCAAGCTGGTTTTGTTTGCTCACTTACCCAGAGAGTTACTTGCAAAGCTTTTCTCCAAACCCTCACCATTCACCTCCCTCTTAGTCATCATACAGCCGGCGTTATTGATCTGTCACAGTCAAATCAGTGAACCAACCACATTCTCATTACTTCCATTAGCTGGTAATGCCATTCAAAATATAGGTGCACTACCATTCAAGTTTGGGGTCAGTAAGATTTTTTTCATGTTTTTGAAAGAATTCTCTTATACTCACCAAGGCTGCATTTATTTGATCAAAAACACAGTGAAAATATTACACTTTAAAATAGCTGTTTTCAATGTGAATATATTGTAAAATGTAATTTATTCCTGTGATGCGCAGCTGAATTTTCAGCATCATTACTCCAGTCTTCAGTGTCACATGATCTTCAGAAATCATTCTAATATGCTGATTTGCTGCTCGAGAAACATTTCTGATTATCATCAATGTTGTGCTGCTTCACATTTTTGTGGAAACTGTGACACATTTTTTTCAGGATTCTTTGATGAATAGAAAGCGTTTATTTGAAATAGAAATCTTTGGTAACATTATAAATGTCTTTACTGTCACTTTTGATCAGTTTAATGTTCTTGCTGAATAAAAGCATACATTTCTAAATAAAAAAAAACCTTACTGACTCCAAACCTTTGAACAGTAGTGTATATGCAATTTTAAAGCCTCACCAGGACATTGAGGGCTTTGTACTTTTTCTTGAAAGACTCTGCAAACTCCCACACCTTCTTGGTTTCGGACAGATCCAAAATATGCACGAAGATCTCCTGCAGCCAAACACAGAGGCCAAAGGTCACGTATTTTACTAGAACATCTTGCTTTAGAAACAGTTGCAGATGTAAATCTGTTTTCAGACAGTGTGTAGATAAATATATGGGTCATTTCAATGATTCAGTGGACTTCTGTAAAAATGGTAACTTATTTGCAAACTACTACATTATTCTTCATTAAGCAGCTGCGTTCTCATTTCTACTGCAGGTTCAGTTCTCCTGGTGTGACCTGAGGTTAAATGACTTGCTCAGAGTGCCACAGTGGTGGAAGCTTCTACAGCCAGCTGTGTTACAATCAGCACCTTTAACTATTAAACTGCAGGCTAACAATCCCAATCGTACTTTGTTTCCAGAGTCCTTGACGATCTCCGTTCTGGCTTCTTCCGCCTTGTCCTTGTTCCTGCAGACCATGTGGATCGTACCACCTTGAAGAAGAGGGTTAACTGGTTAAACTGCGGCACAAAAAGTGTTTGGAGACTTAAATAACACTGTCTGAATGTCATTGCTTTAGATAAATGCATAAATGCAGATAAATAAAATGAGATAAAATGCATAAATGCAGAGCAAAAGTAAAGCTACAACAAAGAAAATCAAAGGACTAGCATAATTTGTTTGCAGATTCTGGGTTTTGTTATCTAATGCAATGACATCTGAACATTTTTCTGTGTCCAAATACTTTTTAGAGCAACTGTATTCACATAAACACATGGAAAGCATTTGAAGAACCTAAATACACCATGAACCACAAGGTCAGTTTCTATTTTACCAACCACTGCTGTTTTTCTCCAACACACACCTTTCTTGGCGATGGCCATGGCAGTGGCTTTCCCGATCCCACTGTTAGCTCCAGTGATCAGGAAGGATCGGCCCGCCACTGACGTCTCCAGGTCCTTCTCAACAAAGTTTTTAGACGCTGACAGAAATGCCCCCCTGAGACACACACATTTAATTAGTATCGAAATGTCACAGGGTTCCCTGTGTGCATGCACTTCACAAAACACTGCTAGATTAGTTCAGTGAAGTCATTAGTTCACTTTTTGCATGCTTTGAACTATTCGACATCATGCTTTTTCAAGAAACCCAACTGACATATGTTCTAAGAATGTTTTATTAACGGTCCCATTAAATAATGAAAATGTTATTTCTGATAGTTCTCTGAACAGTTAAAACGTCCAGTTTTTAAAATGGTTTATTTCTAGGGAACATTTTTAGAATGAGAATGTACCCTGAACGTTCTGAAACAAATCGCAACATTTAAAAAATGTTAGATGAACATCCAACTAAAACGTTTCTGAAAAAACATCCCATGAATGATATAATGTTTTTGTGCTGACGTTTTGAGAATGTTATTAAAGCCCAGATAGCATTGAATGAACATTCTATTAACGTTAATGGAAGAACGTTTGTTTATAACTTTGAGAAAACCTTGCCAGAATGCGAGGAAAATTTCATTAAAGGGTTAGTTCACCCAAAAATGAAAATTAGCCCATAAATTACTTACCCTCAAGTCATCCTAGGTGTATATGACTTTCTTCTTTCAGACGAATCCAGTCGGAGTTATATTAAAAATTGTCTTTGATCTTTCAAGCTGTTTCATGGCACTCAGCGGGTATTGCATGCATCATTCAAAACCAAGTTAAATAACAAGCACCCATCCATAAAAAAAAGTGTCTCACACGGCTCCGGGGGATGAACAAAGGCCTTCTGTAGCGAATCGATGCGTTTTTGTAAGAAAAATATCCATATTCAAAACGTAATAATCACTTTAATGTAGCTTGCGCTCACTGTTGTACACGGAAGCAGCTCCGGGCGGATGACGTATGAGGTCAGC